TGCTGTGGTCGGTCCCCAGAGCCGCTTGCTCTCAGGCCAGAGCGCAAACTTCTGTGTGAAACACTTCCAGCCCCAGCCGGGGCGCACCAAGATGGCGACGGGGAGCGGGCGTGGCCGTGGCGCCCATCACCCAACGTGTGGGGCTAAGAACAGGAAGGTCGCTACGAGTCCAGGCTGTGTAGTGAGATATATGTAACACGCTAAACGCATATATGTAATTTTTTAAAAAAAAAGAAACACTTCCTGGACTGATTTCAAAGCAATGCTCTGCAGAAATTAACTAACTTTCGGGAGGACTTTCCAACGCTGCCTGAGCCGCTGTCCTTTGAGACAGGCTGGCGAGGCTCCCGGTGCAGAGGGGGCAGCCCAGGGCGGCCGCTCCAGGGCAGCAGCATCGCGGGGCAGGAGTGGGGAGAGCCCCCGCCACGGGGCCGGGGAGCAGGAGAGCGGAGAGCGGGGCCTGGGAGGGAGGCAAATTCCCCCGGCCCGGGGCTCGGTGGCCTGCGTCTCCCGAGGCAGGCTCACAAGAGACCACGCAGCCTGCGGGACGCAGAACGACGGAGCAGCACAGGGCAGAGCCGCGGGCCTGAGCCCAGCCCGGCCACCTGCCGCTGAGAGGAAGGATTTCACTCCGCCTCCCGGCTTGGGATTGGACTGGTTACCACCCCACCTCCGCCTCCCAAGGGTGTCCCCTGCCTCCCCACCGCCTCGCTCCTGCGCCCCACTCACCAGCGTGTCTGCGTCCAGGAAGACGCACTTGGAGTACTGCGTGAGTGCCCAGCACTGCAGCTTGGTCAGCGCCAGCCCCAGCTCGGGCCGCTGCACGAAGGCCAGGCGCGTGCGGGCCTCGCTGGCCAGCAGGTCCACGCGGATCACCTCATCGAAGACCCGGGAGAGGACGGCCCTGCAAGCACAGCGGCGTGAGGCAGCAGAGGGAAAGCCTCCCCGGGGCGGCACGGTCTACTGCAGCGGGCTGCCCGCTCGGGTGGCCTTCCACGGATGGAAGTAGCACAGCGCACAGAGCCGGGACAGCGCGCGCCTCGCCGGCTGTGAGGACCGCCACGCGCAACACAGCGACCGCTGCGCAACGGCTGGCGTTTGGTTTAGTGAAATCCTCTACCGTTTCCAATATACGTGTTGTTTTACTATTCGTTGTATTCTCTTATTTTAATTTTTTGGTTTGTTTGTTTTTGGTGGAACCGCGGATTGAACTCAGGCCCTTGCGCTTGCCAGGGCAGCGCTTATTCCACTGAGCCATCTCCCCGGCTCTCTTTTTACAAACGTATTTCGTAGCAGGTCACTAGGGTCTTACTACACAGACTGCTCTCAGCGATTTTCCGGTCTTCAGTCCCCCAGCGCTGGGATTGCAGGCGCCACCACCAGGTCCAGTCTCAGTCGCCGTCCCATCGCGCCCTGGTGGGGACTTGCACGGCAGGCCGGGACCGAACCCGGGTCCCTGCGTCTGCCTAACAGGCACCTGACTCCGCTGGGCTATCTGGCCGGCCCTTGTATTCTCTTTCACAACACAAAGTAATAACAAGAAGAAATTCACCGTCCTGCAAACACGGGGTCACAGGAGTGAAGGAGGGACCCGGCGGGTCAGCCTACGTGCAGCGCCAGGCCGCACAGGCTGGCCGAGGCGGGAGGG